GAGTGAAAGGGGAACGTCAGGGGCAGCAGCTAATTTGCTGCTAGAGCTGCCTGCGGGTGCTGCCTGCTGCTGCTTCCACGCCCTGTTCCCGCTGCGAGCCCTTTACCCCAGCCGCGGTGGGGTGGTGGGGAGGCCCCAACACCCCACTGGCATCTAACGGGCAGGCCAGACTACCACTGTGTCGCCAGGATGCCATTGAGGCGTTCCTGTCCCCCAACACAGACCCAGATGACCCTGCACATGAGGATGGTGCGCCCCGAGAGCCACAGGCCAGCGCCGCCGGCGCCGGCGCCGCCCAACAGGGCACACCCCGGAGCAGCAGCTGGCGCTGCGCGGCGCCCACGCCCTGGGCCTGCGCGGCTCACTCGGCGTGCCGCACAGTGAGGTACTGCAGCGAGTCCTGCAGCCGGGCAGACTGGCGCCAGCACATGGCCTCCTGCCGCCTCCTGCGCCCTGAAACCTGAGCAGCCCTGCCCCCCAAGGAGCAGGAGCAGCACGCCCCGTCTGGCTGCACCCCATCGCATCCGCCTGTTCCCATTCCCGGATCCCAGGCCACCCGCGATATAGCGTTCGGGCTGTTGTGTTGCCTTGATGTTGCCATGGACCCAGCCATCACGCTAAACACCCACAACTCACAAATCCACATGCGCGAACCGACCTGTGCAACCATCTGCATGTGTCATGTCATGGCAACCAAAAGGAGGGTAAATAATGGTGGCGCTGTGGGGCCCATGCCCCCCAGTAGGTTCAGCAGAGGAAGGGGAAGAGCGTCCCGCTGGATGCGGGAAGGGCGCCAGGAAGATACCCACACCCGCCAGCTGCACCGCCGTCAGCCAGCATGCCACCAGCCCCAGCTTCACACCCTGCAGCCCGGTGTGCCAGCGATGCAGCAGGGCGGCTGCGTGGGCTAGTAGGGGCAGGTAGGCAGATGGTGGCAGGACGGAAGGCGAGACAAGGAAGTAGTAGCTGCGGGGAGGAGCTACCGAGTTAGGCAGGGCATGCAGCTGCACTTGTGAGGTAGGCAGGCCGGCCGCCGCAATAGCGAGGACAGCTAGGGCATGGGATGAGGTAGGAACCTTGCAATCCCGGTCCCGTTTGCCCAGTTGCGCGCTGTGATCAGCAGCGGTGACGAGCAGTGGGGAAGGAAGGCCCAGCACTAGGCAAGGCGTGGGTATGGAAGGGCGTGGCGGGAAGTGGTGGTCCGGCATGCAGGAGGCCCAAGTGACTGCAATGCTGCACTCACGTCGTCCACATACTGGTCGCAGCGAGCCTCCGACTCTTGGCGGCAGCACGCTCGTTGGCGGCAGCACGCTGGCGCTTGCGGGCAGCGCCGTGGACCACCTCAGGCCGCCGCGGCCCCCTGGCGGCTGAAGGTAGGTGCTGTACTGGTCGCCTTGCGTTTCCTGCTTCCCCCCCGGGCGGCAAGTGGCCGTCAGGCACCGAGCCAACAGAACCAAGTTGGGAGCACAGCAGCGGCCAGGTTCAATAGGCCAGCTTTGGTGTCAGCGCGAGATTGCAAATGAATTGGAGGCCCAACTTGCTCGAGGGACGACCTTTTGACCCATCGCGATCTCAAGAGAGTTCTGGCTCCTCATTGAGAGATTGAGCGTTTGTCACTTTGCTAAACGCTGTTCACTATGCCCAACGCCTTCTCGTCTTTCATGGGCCACCCTGCCGCGGTGGTGGCCGTGGGCGCGTTGGGCGCCTGCGGCGCAGCCCACGTCCACGGGCGACACCTGGAGTCTGCCCTTACGGCATTCCGCCCGGCTGCGGAAGTTTTGAGCGCGGGCGTGGGGGCCGGCGTTCGCAACATGGGCCTGGTGGCCGTCGACATTGCCCCCCGCCTGCACCCGTGGGTGGCACGCAGGTAAGGCGAGAGTGCATTACTCGTCCCCAAAGTGGAAGAACTTCTGGAAGAACTTTCAAACAAGCGGGCACCTCACTCTGTCTCCCTTGCAGATATGCGGTCTGCCCAAAATGCAAGACAAGGCACTCGCAGATCCTGCTGCCCTCGTGCTCAGCCACCTGATGGCGCCACCGCCCGCAGGTGAGCGCCGCAGCCCTGCCGCCGGCTGCCAGGCCACACCTGCTGTTTCCTGAATCCCTCCCCACCTTCAGCCTTCCTGCCACTGTGCTTGCAGCCCGGCGCCGCTGCCATGCAGGGCTGCGACGGTGAGAGGCACGCAGGCGGCACCGCAGCCGCACCCTCCCAGGACCCCTTGCATGCTATACACCCCCCAGGACCCCCCTACAACAGCCAGGAACACGTGCTAGCTTGAATAGAGCTTTCTGCGCATCCTTGTGTGTAATTTGCCTGTAACCTGATTGTTTTGTGAGTTTGTTTCATTTTCATTTTCCTGACATTTTTCTCTCAATCTGCCTTGCATTGTATGATCCCTCTTTTCATCTCCACCACCCCCGCCAGATTCTGCCCCCATGATTCTTTCACCATCACCTCTGATTTTCTTCCCTGCCTGCTTTGCTACCTTGTTCATTTCTGCCCTTGTGAGCGCAATGCACGGGGAAACCAACAGCACCCAGCGCAGAAAGACAGGATTCGCAGCTCCACATGGGGAAACATGGTGGTGGTTTGGGGTGTGGGCAGACGGTGGCAGATAATTGATGCCCTCGATGACGAGAGCCGCCAGACCGGCTTGTGCGTCCCAGGCGGCCCGGGCAGACAGGGAGGCGCCAGCAAGCGCAACATGCCGAGACAGTGCTGCCGCCAGTAGCAGCAGCAAGTCAACACATTGCTGTCAACCAGCCCTCCAGCTGCCACAGGCAAGGCAGCCGCGCTTCCAGCAGGTCCAACCTGCTGCCTGCCCCGCCTCGTGCCGCAGCAGCCGCAACAGCAGCAGCGTGGGACTTGGTGACAACACCGAGCTGCTCGCCCTACTGACCATCACAAAACACCCTACCTGTTCCCTGCCCCGCTGCTGCTCCCCGAACCGACTTGAATGCATGCAGAGAGTGTGAGCAGTAGCATGGAGATGGGAGCAACGGATGAAGCAAGTCGAGCAGCGTCAGCAAGAGTCAGCAGTGCAGGATCGGGAGAGAGGAGTGCGAAACTGGGGCAGATGCCAGGCCAGGGCGCGCGCGGCAGCGGTGCCCGGCCTCACTCCTTCTTGGGAGGCCCTCCGGGAGGGGGAGGCGGCTTGAAGCCTGGCATGCCTGCAGGGCGGGGTGGCGTCCAGCAGGGCGCCAGCAGCAGCACCGCCATCAATCAGCACCGGCCTGCCTGAGCATGCGCAGTGCTGCGGCGCGTTGCGGGCTACTAGGCAGCAGAGCGGCCGGGCCGCTGCCCTTCCTTCCCGCGACTCCCCTTCTCTCCTTCTCCCTCTCCCCTCCTCCCCTCCCTTTCCCCTCCAGGGCCCGCACCTGGCATGCCAAAGGGCATCATCCCCGGCATCATCATCATCCCGGGCATGCCAGGCATCATCTCCATGCCAGCCATGCCTGCGCCAGGCAGGGTCAGGCGGGTTGAGTACGCAAGCACACAGCAGGAGCGCTCAGCTGTGGCCATCGCTCCGCCTTGCAGGGAGCATTCCAGAAGTCGACGGCAGCCTGCCAGCCGGATGCGAGGCCCCAGGCAGGCAGGCAGGCAGGTAGGCAGGCAGGCAGGCACACAGCACAGCCCAGCTCAGCACAGCAAGCCCAGAGCACCGGCAGCTGCCAGGTGGCCGCTCACCCATCATGCCTGGCATCATCCCTGGCATCATCATCATGCCGCCGGGTCCCATCATGCCTCCCGCTCCCATCATGCCGCCTGCTGCCATCAGTTCCGACCCCGCCGCCACCTCCTCCATGCCGCCGCCGCCGCCGCCGCCGCCTCGGCCGCCGCGGGCGCCCATGCCGCCACGGCCGCGCCCGCCGGGCCCGCGCCCGCCGCCGCCGCCCGGCGCGCCGCTGCCCACGCCGCGTCCCGCGCCGTACTGGCCGCCGCCGCCGCCGCCCGCCTGGTGCCGCTGCTGCTGCGGGCTCACTCTGCACGGCCGGCCGTTCACGTCCCGCCTGCACGCCATGCCAGAGGGGAGGTGGCCAAGTCAAACAGCAGCAGCAGGCACGTGTCACTCATGCCCTGGCAACACTGCATGGTCAGCGCTCTGCCAGAAGGCAGCCGCCAAAAGGCAGAACCTCAGATCCAGGCGAGCAGCCCTCATTGGCAGGCATTGCCGGCCGAGGCCGCCGCTCCACCGCTTGCGCAGCCAGCCTGTCATCCCCTCCTCCCCTCCACCCACCACCACGCACCCGTTGAGGCCCGCGATGCACGCCGCCGCCGCCTCGCTCTCTGCAAACTCCACGATGGCCATGCCTCGCGACTTCCCACACGCCTTGTCGTCTAGGAAGCGAATGGAAAGCACGTGGCCAAAGGCAGCACACAGCCCTTCCAGCTCCACGTCAGTGGTCCACCACTGCAGGTTGGAGACAAAAACGGCGGAGCCGTCTCCGGCGCCGTGACCTGCAGGGACAGCGTGGTGGGCGCGATGTGGGTGGCGGCAGCATGGCGGCGCGGCGGCGGCTGGCGGCGGTGAAGGGCCGGCGGCACCCGCGGCGGCAGCAGCGGCGCGTACCTCCGTCTCCCATGTGCTCCAGGCCGCCGTTCTGGTGGCCTGCAGGCAGCAGGGTTGCCAGCAGGAGCCGGCAAGTGTGGTGATGGCTGCCCGAGCGCTCTGTTGCCGCAGCCAGTTGTGGGGACATCGCGATCATGCGTGCGCGCCTCACCTCCATAGTCGCCGCCCTCATAGCCCCCCGCCATGTCGCTCCCTCTCTAGGCAGGAGTTCAGCTCCTCGTAGTATGGGCGCTTGAAGCTTGAAGGGAGCGGAAGAAGAAGGAGAAGAGGAGGAGGAAGACGAAGAACGAAACGGGGGTCCGCCACTTGCAGCTGCTGACGTGGGGGTGCTGGCACAATTGGCGCGCGCCCTCTCTCCTTCCACTTTTTAACGCTGCAGCAGTCGTTACATCTGAAAATTCATGAGGAGGCGTTCGCAAGATTTGGTTTTCGATGGTAGGCTGCCGGTTGCTTCCTGTGGCAGATGCCGCGGTGGTTCCACCTCACTGAGCCCGTCGGCATGCCCCACTCATCCTTGTGCACACCGGCAGACCGCCAATGGGCACAGCCGATGCACCACAATCTGCGCATGCTCCACAGCATCTGGCCAGCCGTGCCGCCCTTGCTGGCTGGCTGCGCAGCAAGCGACAGCGGCAGCAAGGCCCGCTGAGCGCTGCGCCAGCACGGCTGCGCAGGCATCCAGCTGCCGCTGCGCCTACAAGCCTGTGCATGTGTTGCCCGCTGATGTGGCACCTCCCCCGATTCGTCTGGCTCATCAGGCACGCTCTCTCCCGCGATCCCTCCCTTTCCTTCGCCTTTCAAAGTCTCTAAGGCTTCTATTTCTCCCCTCCCGCACCCCGCAGCTGCCGCAAATTTAAAATTATGAACCAACCTGTCATCCTTTATGCCTTAGAACGGCGCCAAAACGGCGCCAAGAATGTGTTTCTCACTAAGTCAGATGTAGAGGGCATCATCCGGATCAAGCAGGGCGACCAGCAGGCGCCCTCAGGCCGGCGGCGGCGGGGTGCGGGAGGGGGGGCGGCAGTGCAGGGCGGCACCAAGAACTACAGCAAGAAGGTGCTGCAGTTCTTCCAGGTGCTGAAGGGCGCTGGCGGTCAGGACATCCTGTGCCGCTGCGTCAAGCGCAGCGGAGAGTGGCGGTGGTGCCCCGTGGTGCCGCTCGAGGAGCTGCCCCGAGTGATCAAGGAGCACCACGAGCGGGCGACTGGCTTCAGCGGTGTGGAGAA